GCGGTTCCCCCACAAACTCCCCGAGAGCGGAGCCTCCGCCGCCCTCCTTCCTGCTTCCTCGTCCGCAGCCAATCAGCGGTTCGCCCCTCGGCCAGCTCCGCCAATCAGCCGCCTCGCCCTGCGCTAGCCCCGCCAGCCAATCCGGCCCTGGGCTCCCCCTCCCGGTCTCCGACCAATCAGAACCGTGGGTCGGTCGTCCCAACGCAGGGGGCAGCACGAGGCGGCCGGGGGAGGCGGTGCGGGGAGTGGTGGGGCCTGGGGGGAGGGGTACGGTGCCAAGGGTGGTGGGGGACTGATTTCCTTTGCCGGCTTCTTGGGTTTTCTCCATGTCTCCAGAGCCTGAGCCCGTATCCCATGGTGACCCGACCCTGGAGCCCTAATCCCCCAGCTGCAAGCCCCCCACCCACGAGAAATCTTATCTCGCCCCCCGCCCTGACCATCACCCCTCTACATCCCTCTTCCTTCTCACCCTTCTCCTCAACACCCATTGGAGAAAACTGCGGGCCGAGGAACACCCCACCTTCACCAGTGGCTCCTGCCCCTGGGGCAAAGCTTCGGGAAGATCAGCCTAAAATCATGCGCGGACAACCCCCCTTTCCTGCAGAAAGGGCCCCAGACTCGAGCGAGAGGGCCCCGACTTGCCGAGAAGCCCCTCCCGCCCTTGCCTCATCTTTCCGACTTCCCTGCCTGCCACGTCTCCTTTCCTTTCAAGCAAGGTCGGTCCTGGCTTAGTAACCCCTCACCCGCATTTCTTTTTCCTCTTTCTCCCCTTCACCTACCACCCCTCACCCCAGTACCTACTTCATCCTCCTCAGGAGCGGGGTGTGGAACCCCCATCCATTTCCAGCTAACAGCAGAGCCTGGTCTCTGAGCCCATGACACCCACACACCCTCTTCCACCACCGCGGGGATCGGCAGAGCTAGGGTAGGGGGGTGGGGGCAGAGGGAGGGGGTAGGCAGCCTGACAACCTCCACTGGACTCCCTCCCTCGCGTCCCCAAGCCAGGCCAGGACGAAGGGTGGACACTTACCTGGCTTCCTCTTAGTCACCAAAGGCTGTGGCTCAGTCTCTCACACCCACAGACGTGCCTTTCCAAGCCTGAGCACGTTCGCGGGGTCAGCGGGGTGGGTGGGCACTGCAGGCTGAGGTCACAGGCGGGGCGGTGGTGGTGAGGGAGTTCCTGTAAGGTGCAGGAAGGGACTGTGTCTTGGGCTCGTCTGTAGAGCCCATTCCCGCATGGGGCTTCAACGTGGACTAGCCTCTCGCTGTGCACTTAGTAGGATCTTGAAAAAAGCTGAGTCCACCCCAGAACAAAAGCTTATTCCCAAATCAGGCGGGGGAGGGGAGCTCTGGGAGGTGAAAGGAGCCGCAGCAGGAAGGGTAGTGTCACATCACGGAAGCGCTCAGAGCTGCCCAGGGAGGGGCTGGGCCCAGGAATGCCTTGGGCAGAGAGAAACACCTAGGTGGGCAGAAGAAAGCAGGCTTAGAGGTGGTTCAGGGACCCCCTCCTGAGGGTCTTCTGCCCTACACCTAGTGCCCAGCCTGTCCTAGACCTGGGGACTTGAGCACACACTCAAGCTACCCTGGAGGGATGGGGCTGTTGGCCATTTTGGCTGGAATTAAACACCCCCCAAAAAAGAAAATGGTTCCCATCTCCCTCTAAAGCTGTCAAGGAGATGGAAACGCAGTCTTCACTGCATTGGGGACCACATTTAAAGGAGGAGTCCACCGCCCGGGAACTGTGTAAATGGAAACCAAAAGCCAAGGCCAAGCCCCTGACACACACATTTCTCAAGAGCTCAGGTTCTCCTAGGGCAAAAATGTCCCTGAATTCTCTCACCTCCCACCCTTTGGGAAAGCAAAATCCCCTAAACCTACCAAAGTAGTAGGGGGGGGTTTCCCTTCCCTGAACCTCACAGGACAAAGATTCCCAGTAGCTGCCCCAGACATCAAGCCAGCCCTCCCCTCCCCCACCTCACAAAACCCCCTTTCCCTTCCCAGTCTGGCCCATTGGTTCATGAGCCCCCACCCCCACTAGGAAGCTCCCAGCGGAGATGGGTGGTCCAGGGGAGCTAGTGGAATGCTGCTCTACCATCCTGCCCGGCTGGCAGAAGAGGGGACAGGCTCCTGCCAGCAGCACAGTCTGTGCTGACCTTAGCAACTGCTTCATGCTGGCTAGTGGGCAGGGTGTGAGGCTGAGAGGGTTAGGGGAGAAATGTACCTGGTCACAGGGAAGGACACCCCAGCCGTAGGAAGCCCATCCCCGCCCAGGAAGTAGTGGCAGGACAAAGTTGGAGAACTGGACTTTTCCCAGGTGTCCAGGGGTGAAGATCTAGTTGCCCCTGGGTGAGAGAAGAGTTGGCTTTTACTTGGGACCTTGGTAGGAGGGAACACTGGCTGGAGGGGAGGCAAAGAGAACAGAAGGGCCCACTCCAGGTGACAGAGCCTGCCTGGCGGAGGGAGGAATTCTGATCCCCAGGCCTGCCCTAGGTGAGTGGCTATCTCCTTTGCCCCCAGGAGGGCCCTGACTAAGCTGATGGAGTCACAAGTTGGCTACAGACACCTGGGGTTCCTTCTATGCCAGCCCACTGAGGGGACTCCAGACCTCGATCCTGTCCCTCCCTCCTCTCCACTGCTGTTTGGTAAAGCTGGTCAACAAACTCGCAGAGAGGAGGCCAGTGGCAGCAAGGTCTGCCTGGCTCTCCGAGCCACCTTCGAGCATCTCCTCCTTCTTCCCCTCCCAGAACCCTTCTACACCTGGGAAGGGCTCCACCCCTTCCCGCTCCCTTCAGCTCCTCTCACCCCTCCCGAGCCAAGGTTATCCTCTACCTACCAGGGCCACTCGCTAGGCAGACACCAGGCCCATTACCCTTGCTCACCCTGGCACGCCCAGCAGCCCGAGCTCACCCGCAGAGAAGAGCTTGGAGAGAGGCAGGGGTCCGGCAGATCACCAGAGCCACCCCCTCCCTGAACTGGGCCAAAGATTCCGCTTTCCCAGACACATCCAGACCCTTCTGGAAGGGTTAACTGCCTCTGAGCGGGAGCGCCCAGAGAGGGAGCTGCCGAGAGGAAAACAGCCAGAGAAAACACGATGCACGCCCCTCCCCCACCGCGCACAACCCGACTGACAGCCGCCGGGACAGACTGGCTGCTCCGTCATCTCCCGTCCAGGCTTCAGGCACCTCCCCCACCGCCGGCCGCTGCCCGAACTGACCACCCGCCCTCTCGGATTCAGCACCTGGCCACCCCCCACCCGCGGGCAGGGCTCTCCGGTGGGCAGCGCAGTCTCCCCTCCCTCCATTCCCAGCCCAGGTCCCACCACCTTTCCCGAGAGTGGGGCCGTCGCCCCCCTCCCCAAGGGCCGGAACTCCAGGTCCCAGGGAGCAGTGACTGAGCCACCTTGGCCCTTCGGCCCCACTGGACAAACTGAAGAGCACGGCTTCCTCGGGGAAAGGCACCGGGTCACCAATTAGATGTGGCTGCAGAACTCTCCCCTCCCCCATCGTAGGAAACCCCCAAGGATGGCAGAATACCGAGAGCTGGACTTTTTATAGTCCTTTTGCTGTGGCCCACTCCTTCAAGGCATCAACCCCCACTTCCTTAAAGGGATCTCCTGAAATTATTTGCCCCCAGGCAGATCTAAGTACAGAGGGTTGTTTGATCATTACCTGCTGGGGCCCCTTTCCCCAGGCGTGGGGGAGGCAAAAGTGTCTCCCTCCCCCCCACCTCCCCCACCTTGAGACTGAGCAGCAGGGCCATGGCCCCCTCCTACCACTAAGAAGCCAGCTGTTGAGGGTCCAGCAAGGAACTGGATTTATGCCTCCCCTGACTGCCAAAGAGGGCAACCCACTGCTACAGTGGGAAGCGTGTCAAGGTGAGGAGGAGGAGCCTGGGTGGGACTCAGTCTCCTCCACACGCCGAGGAACTCGGGGGCTGCGTGCTCCTCAGGCTTTGGGGAACACACTGTCACGCCACCTTCCTCCCAAACCCCCATCTGCCCAGCGCTAGCCTCCAGATTGCTGGCCCAGGGAGGTCTTTGCAGACGCCTCGCCCTGCAAAAGCTGCTCCCGCTCTCGGCTGCTTTGCCCTCCGAGTCTGAACTCCTAGCCTCCCTGGGGCCCCAGGCCTTCCCCTGGGGGTGCACTCTCTGCCCTTCATCCCGGTTGCCTCCACTGAAGTCCCAACAGCCACGGAATTCGGGAGCCCCCATCTCAGGCTCAACCCTGCCTTCGGCTAAGCGTCCCCAGTGTCCCTTCTCACAGCCCAGTCCTCCCCCATCCCCCGTCAATGGGGTGGGGGATGGGCACACCTCGGTTCCAGGAGCCCAGCAAAACCGCATCTTTCCTCGCCCTCCTGCTTACTTGGCACCGAGCCTCACTCTGCCCTTGGGACTTACGGGGTGCGTGAAGGGGTGGGTGTACATGGGGTGGGGTGCGCGGGGGAGGGGAGAGCTTCAAGGGCCACTCCAGCCTGAGTGAGGGACAGTCGGAGGCAGGCACTCACTGAAGCCACCCTCTTCGGCCCCTCCTCCTCCCTTCGTCCGTGGAGGGTCGTGGCAGCCCGGGGCAGGGCTTCCTGGGCGCTGGGAGCCTGCTAGGGCTCCCACCCCTGCCACTCCCTAGAGGAGGGGCTCCCCCGCAGGGC